ACGCGTATGCTAAGATGCGCTCCACTGAGAGTCATATGGTGTGCATTATATCGCGCAACAACATCCGATTGTCAAGCGAACCTCAACCTCGACTCCATTCGCCTCTCAATAGAACCGACCAATCACAGCATGGAGAGCTACAATTCATGTGGCAGTCACTACAGGGTCTTAGTCTGTTTCGTGACACGAGGTGTCACCATTTCACCCTTCTTCTCGCTGAATCCTCCCCTTTCTCTTCTTCACCAAGTTTGAAGTCTTGATCGCTCCCACCGATCTCGTCCGATAACCGTCCAGCTTCCTAGCAGGGCGCCCAAAACAGGGGATAGCATATCGCTCCTTGAGAAAACGCTTTCGAGGGTGCAGTTTGATCGACTTTTGGGATTAGCACTACCTTCACTTTGTCCTGTGCCACCCAAGCTGCGTTTTACGATGTTGGCGGGATTGATCGGACGATACCAACGAGCATCACCCAAAGAACCCCAACGAATCATGGTAACGAACCTCGACACCCGATGAGGCTCTCCCAAGCGCCGAATGAGTACGCGCTTGAGGTGGGGGGGAATCAGCAGATCGATAGGATTTTCATCAGGGAGTAGACTATCTCAGCATCAGTCTCCAGCGATCATTTCCGGAATACAGAAACCTTGTCCGGTGAACAATACGCCTGCACACAAATCGACCAATTGCAAGTGAAAACTGATGGACGAACTGCATAGCATCGCTCTCAACAATACTCTCTGGAAGAGTGGTGTTTCATGTGTACTCTTGTCATTGGACTGCGCCAATACTACTATGCAGCATGCTCCAGTGATTGCAATTTCCTCAGATCTGACGCCATTTTTCGCTGGACGACCTCGAAACGCTTGGTGTGAGGCGTGGTGCATTTGTAGACGATCTGCAGCTGTGCCACTTGTATGAGCTCTGCTGTGCCTCATCCGCCAATCACATCCCCTGCATCTATAGCCGCGCCCGAAGCGCTCACCGTCACTACAGATGAGCGGCTGGAGAACCATGGCGCTCTTTTGCTTCAATTGGCCTGTGGAATTTCAGTGTGGTCTCAACCAGCGTACGTTTCTCTTTCATTTTCCTCTTTCCATGTCCTTAGTCGTTGGTCGCACATTCGACGAGTCGTGAAATTCGCATTTCTACTACTCATTTTTTATACCATCCTTCAAACGTGCCTCTATTTCCTATTCTCGAGTCTAAGAACAGCCATGTATCTCGACACAGGCCGAGAAGTAACCCTTGAAAGTCCACCCTTACCGCCGCCGAAGACGGATCGCGCACGTTTTTGTCCTATCTGCAAGACCGACTCAAGAGAGCAGCCGATTCACTGCATTAGGAAACCTGAGGGTCCTCTATCACTTTCGACAGTACCAGAGTTGCGAGTCAAGCCGCCGCCGCGTTCTTCAAGGCCGCAGCCCCCTCTTCCCGCTCTACATTGTGATCCCGAGAGCCGTCCGAACGTGCGATTTCGTCAAAATCACTTCTCACCTCTGTCTCCGTGGACTAAAAAAAATGAAACCGTTTGGGACAGTAAAAGCTCATTAGGGCTTGGTATTTTGGATGCACCGTTCAAGCCGGACAAAAGTCCGTTGACCCCCGGTGCAGTTGAGAACGCGCGCGAGGACGCTGATGCGTCTGACTCTGTCGGGCCGGTATCGAACTTTGCCCAACGCCTCAAACGAAAGCTATGGAAATATAACACCTCCGGGAGTGTTATAATGAAGTGGTCACTAGAGATTATTAGCTGGTCCGTAAGCGCCGTATGTATGGCTGGCATTATTGGTGTGCTCTTTGTCTACAAAGACAAACGTATTCCGAACTGGCCTCTAGGTCTGACATTAAACGCGTACATTTGTAAGTCAGGACTGCTAGAATATATCTCGTGTGAGAGCACCCGCAATTACTGACGTCTTGACCAGCGGTTTTGTCAAAGATAGCATCAGCTGGCTTGCTTTTACCAGTTTCTGAAGCTTTGGGGCAACTGAAATGGAGCTGGTTCAACAAGGGGTCCAAAAAGATATGGGATTTTGAAATCTTCGATAACGCCTCTCGTGGACCCTGGGGTTCACTTCTCCTCCTCGTGCGTACTAAGGGGAAGTCACTAGCCGCGCTTGGAACAGCTATTACAGTGTTTGCACTCGCTCTTGATCAATTCTTCCAACAAGTCGTAGAATATCCCGAACATTGGCGTGTGCAGCCAGGCAATGGCACTATCCCAAGGTCCATTGGCTATGCACCATACAAAGCCGGTTCGGATTATAGAGCTGACGGCGACGTACGACTCGACCTTGACTCAAATCTGCAAGCTGTTACGGAGCGCTTCTTCTACGATAATGGGATAGCACCAGTGCCCTTTGGCAAGGGTAAGAGAACTTTGATTGGAAAGACTGTCCGTTAATAGTTGCGAGTTCCCAAGCACCACTTACACACGTATCCTTAGACAAATTACTCAGGCATTGGCAGTCGTCTAGTCTTAGATTACGCTCGCAAGAACTTTTACTGACTTCACGCCCCGTTCTTTAGGTTACCGAGCAGAAGTCCCACTATCATGTCCGAACAGCAATTGTACCTGGCCCCAGTATGAGACCCTCGGGTTTCGCAGCGAATGCATTGACATCACTGCCCAGCTAGATTTTCGATGCATTTACACAACGCTGGACTGGGTTCAGATTCCGGATGTCGACGATGTCACAAGCGAGAACGTCTTGTAGGTCTTATGATTGATATAACCCTACAAAGTTGGATACGGTGCTGACTTTCCAATTTCCACATACAGTCCGAACGGCACGTCTTGTGGGTGGTGGCTCAGAGCAGACCGACCTCTTCTCATGACTGGTTATGACATTGATCGAAACACTAACCATTCCGGCAAAATTCTCTTAATGAGGGCCCAACCACTTTATGATATATTTACCCGCGAACCAATACCAGGATATACTTCCAGTCTCAACAATACTCGAAACCCACTGTCGCATGTCCTCATTGTTTCTGGTGGCGATGAAGCTAGTATCCGTCAAAATGCTACACCTGTTGCAGCCCATGAATGCATACTCTCATGGGCAGTAAAGGAAATATTGTCGGAATATTCAGCAGGAGGCTATACGGAAAATGTTCAGCAGACTATATACAACAGCACTTTAGGTCCCAATCCTTGGACCACGTTCCAGATCCAGGATGCCAGCGGTGCCACAGTCGGCACCAACTACGTTTACAACGAGAACATCAGCCTTACATGCCCGTACGGTACGCAGTATCACCTCGACAATACCACCCAGATTATGATTCTATCCTTATTCGATGACATTTTCCCATCCATGTATACACATGCGCAGAACCTATTGAACGAGACACAACCTTTACTACGATACAGACCTCAGATTACGACGAATCCATGGCTACGGAACATGTTATACAACCCTTTTTTATTCGCCAACATCTCAACGCATATGGATCGCATGGCTGCAGCCATGACGAACGCCATGCGATCCTCTGCAGATGATACCGTGTCAGTCGTTGGCTATGCATACGAGAAAGAAAGCTATGTGGATGTGCGATGGCTTTGGTTATTACTCCCGCTCGCGCTGCTAGGACTGACCTTGATATTTCTTCTTGTGACAATTATTAGGAGCTCCATGGAACCATCAGTGGGCATATATAAGACATCAGCCATCGCCATTCTTCTCTACGGCCTGCCAGATGAGATGCAGAAAAAAATCAGATCATCGAACGAAAAAGGGACTCCACGGACAAATGCGAAGGAAGCTAAAATGAAATGGGTTCCCAAGGCAGGATGGCGTTTCTCAAGCAAGACTCTCTCACCCGATTCTGGTTCAACAAATTGGGGGAGGAAGCGCGATGCTTAGACCGGAATGGCTTTGAGCCAACGCATACTACAGCATAGTATCGCAAAACCCCAAATGACCAGCCCGCGCTAGAACGGATTCAGATATTCAATACATTAGAATAGACTGCCATTGTACAGATGCACTTCACAGAAGCCGCCCTGGACGAGTTTTCAAAAGAAAGAAAAAAAAAAGATCGGGTACGAGGTAGCACTGCCATCTCATTGGGATGTTCTTCCAGATCGACAAAAACTTCGCAGGAAACCCCCGGGCGGCAACAGCTTTTTCATATTCCCAACAATTAAAGGCAGGGGTGTGGGGAATCGTGGGTTCCAGACTCGTGCATGGAAAGATTGCTGGCGCTTAGCCAACTGCTTGTATTCGCAACGTCATGGTCACCTCACAAATATGCGCGTTGAAGGCACAGCAATTAAGCGCTTCGCGTTGCAGATAGTACCCGATCATAGTCCCCACCAAGCCGCCATCCCGCAAGGATACAGCATTGAGCCTTAGTCCACGTTTCGAAAAACCGTAGCCTGATGTGGTGACCTCCATAACCAGACAGAGTGCCCTAAATATCTTTATATCTTGCCGGAACGCACATCCAAAAACAAATAAAAGGAGCATGTCTAGGAGGGTCACTGACTTGGAGAAACCAAAACCTGATTGTAAGTATCGTATTCAGAGTTATACGCATATAAACAGGTTTGGTAGTAGAATTCAAGCTTCCCACCGTCCACATCGGATACCTGGTCCCTTCGCTCATTCGTGAGAGCTACCGCGATGTTTTGAGTAACGATGTTCGCCTGGTGGTGCTAACGGAATGCGATCGACCAGGCCATCTGCGTGAAACCTATTCGATCGAGCTGTTGCATAGTATCCGCCTTTTTCTATGAATCCAATGGCCTCAAAACGACGTAGAGGTATCAATGTGTCATCCAACATCCACCCGGTTTTAGCCTAGAAATTCCGACATTTTCCTAGCGTCCAACGACCCCTCTCTACCCCTCTTCTTCGTCTGACACCACTTCCCCACTGTTGCACAATCCCTTACTTGATGCTCCTGCTACAGTTTGAATGAATAATACAATAATTGTATTGTACACAACAACTCCAATGAATCCATCATTCATCAACATCGAGTAATCAGCGGCATCGATAGTTTAGTGGTAGAATTGAAGCTTCCCATCCTCGTGGAGCTTGCTTCAGGCACGGGTTCGAGTAAGCCGTACATGCATCCTGCATCTACAATTACAGCTAATAGCCAATAGTTCCCGTTCGATGCATCACAATTGTTTTTTGCTCTGGACTACTCACTCAGTGGTTGACCATACTCTTCTTCTTCTTCTTCTTCTTCTTCTTCTTCTTCTTCTTCTTCTTCTTCTTCTTCTTCTTCTTCTTCTCCTTCTTCTTCTTCTTCTTCTTCTTCTCCTTCTCCTTCTCCTTTCTCTACTCACCGTTCGATGTAATAAACCACCTTTTCGCATTGATATTCTCTTTTGGTAGTTGAGGTGCCTTGTCTACGTCTGAGACGTTGGTGAAGTACGTTTGATCTTTTGGGGATGGTGGGTTACGCGCTAATATAACGATTGAGACGGAGAAGTTGAAAT